AGCAAACACAGATTCCTGAAAATCCCCCTCCCCCCATTTCCCAACCCCAGCTCTGTTCCTGCACAGGCAAGTGGAGACATTAATCTTCAGGCACAAGCAGAATTTTCATCTTGTTCCAACCCTCTGTGATTTCTGCTGCAAACACCAGCTCTCCATCCCAGTTATTATTCACGTGTAAGAATTCAGATAACTCCCCCTGCTCTTAAGCACGGCTCTGTGTGACTCTACCCCACAGCTGCTGCCGCTGCTTCTTCAGAGGAATCTCAAAGCAATTTGCACTTGCTTTGCAGGATAAACCTCCCATTGTGTGCTGTTCCCCAAAAATCAGCTTTTCCGGCAGCTGCCTGCAGATCTGGAGCTCTCGGGACTGAGGCTGCTGATGCCCCACATTTGTCCCAGTCAGAATTTAGCTGAAATACATAAATTCTTGGGTCAAACTCAGAAGCAAAGCTGTAACAGGGTCCCAAAAATGCTCTGAGGAAGTTTTCAGGTGGCCTTGGGTGTTTTAAAAGAGGTCAGCACCTCCCCTGGACAGCCCAGCGTGTTGTGGCACGAGGTTTGCCATGGAATCAGAGCCACTGAGGCTGGAAAAGCCTCCAAGGCCATCGAGGCCAAGTGTGAGCAATCCCCACCTTGCCCAGCAATCCTTGGACACCTCAGGGATGGGGAATCCAAAGCTCCCAGGGCAGCCCTGCCCATGTTTAACCCTTCCCATGAAGAAATTCCTCCTGAAATTGCTTTTTGTGGAACCAGAGAATCGTTAAGGTTGGAAAAGACCTTTGAGATCATCAAGTGTCACTGTCAACCCTGCACCAGCAGCGTGGGCAGCACCAAACCCTGCCCCAAGTGCCATGGTCACATATTTTCTGGGCACTTCCAGGGATGGTGACTCCATCCTGCGTGTGTGTCACTTATCCTGGGAAGGTCTGGAATCTGCATCACTCACTCTGTGGAGAGGGATTATCTGCTTTACCATCAATACAGTGGGAAGTACTGCATTTAAAGCCATACATTTATTTTAATCTGAATTTCACCCTTGATTTTGATCTTTTTTTCCCCACAAACCCAAACCCCAGGAACAGCTCCGTGCAGGGGCTGCCTGAGCCAATCCCAAAGGCAGGCAGGCAGGCAGGAGCAGGAGCTGCCATTTGGCTCTGGGGTCACTTCAAAAGGCATCGTTGCTAATGAGCAGCTGCATTTCCCCACCAGGAACCCAGGGCGGCCCTGCTGCCAAGCCCTGCTCATTTCCATCCCTGTGCACAGCCAGCCCTTTGCTCCATGCTAATGTGTTTTCCTAAACAAAAGGAGCCACAGCCAGCCCAGAGCTGACCTTCACATTCGCTCCTGTGATTTGGATGGCTCAAAGTCTATTTGCCTGGTGGCTCTTTTTATTTATTTTTTTTTTTCTTGGGGGTGGGATGAAAAGCGACACATTAATTCCTGAAAAACATGCGCAAAGGAGGCATCCAGGAGAGAGGAGAGGAGCTGCTGGGAGCAGTAGTTCCCTGCCAGACACACCCTCAGCCCAGTTATTCCCATTCTCCCAGTTTACAAACAGCGAGGAAAACACAATTCTGTTTCCTCGTCGTTTTCAAAGCTCCTTATTTACAAGTGAGTCGCTTCGCTTGTTTCAAATCCGTGGGAAAGGACAGAGTTGGGAAATAAACGAAGCAATAAAAAACCTCTCTACACAGCACCTGGAAAACCCTGCCCTGGTAGCATCAGATCCTTGAGGCTTCCTCAGAATTCCCTGCATAAAAGCCACGACACAAATCCAGGGGAAACAGCTCCTGCCAGGCTGCTTAGAGAGGCATCTGGGGAAGTTCATAATGCCCATCTCAAGCTGAACACACTGCAAAAGCGATGCTTCCAAACCCAGCCCAGAAACCCACCAAAAAACCCCAGAAATGTGCCTTTTTTTCTGTCACCAGGTGTGTAAAATAACGAGGAAAACCGCGGGATGGCCTTTTTAAAATGAGGAAATTAACTGTGCTTTGTCTGCTCCCCGAGCTATAACTCGCAGACTGATGGCAGCAGATGCAGGATCCCCTCCTCCTCCTCCTCCTCCTCCTCCTCCTCCTCCCCCAGCAATTGGTTCTGCTTCCCTGGCAGCCCGTGCAGGAAACCCATGGCATCGCCCTCCCACCCCAAACAAACAGGAAAACCATCAAAAAAAAACCCCCATGGCATTCTCTGCCCGGGAGGAAGCAGCGCCTGTACCCAACGGCAGAGCAGTTATCCTTAAAATACATTTCTGGAGCCCAGCCAGGAAAAGTGAAGGCACTTTCAGCCTGGAGAGCAGCCACAACGTTTAACACTTAAAAACCGGCTAGTCGTGAAGTTACTCATTTGAAATGTCCTTAAAAAAACCTCTGACAAAACCAAGACCCAAAAAAAACCCGCCAGCCCAAGAGCCAGTTTGGGAATTTTCGAGTTCATGTGTCAAAGGGATAAAGTTGATACAAAATCCTCTCTATTCTTCAGGAAACCACAGTTCTCAGGATGTACATGAAAGGAGAGGAGCCATCTGCTCTGTCTATAAATCAGCTTCTAAATTATCAGAGAATGTTTTAATTTTACAGCAGACTAAATAAAATAAATCATCACTATCACAGGCCACGGGGGTACACACGAAATGTGGAATTATTCTAAAAGACATAAAAGGCATGGTTTGCTTGTGAGCCTACCCCACAACTGTGCTCACACAACAGTTCCCTCACTGATGAATATCTCCCTCTTGCCTCCTCTTACATTTAAGCTTAAGGTTTTTTTAGCAGCACAATCATAAAATAAATAAAAATAAATAAAACACCCTCTTGCACTGACAGCTTTGAAAGCAAAATTCCTTCTCCCCCCTCACAGACTGGTGAGCTCAGCTGGGCAAAAAAAGAAGGAACACGACCAGAGCATCCTTTAGGGTGGAAAGCAGAGCTGGATGTGCTTGGTGCTGCTTTCACCACAAACACTGCTGCTGCTTTGTTCTAGCTTTTTAATATTTTATTTGGTTTTTGTGTTCTCCATTTTATGCTGATTTAACAGATCCAGCTGTGCAGCTCCCTAGGCAGTCTCCATATTCATAATTATTATTATTGGATAAACATGTATTTGAGTGGGGCAACAGATGATACGCAGATAATTTTTTCTTTTGCTTACTCCCATTTATTTCCCCTGCAAAAAACCAAAAAAAACCCAAAAAAATCCCCAAAGCAAGGCGCTTTATTGTGCCCTCCCGCAGCTGGGAAGGCGGTGGGGATGTGTCGGGAGGCGGTGGCAGGCTGGCAGCGGCGATGCCAGCGGGGATGGGAGGGTGTGGCCGGGCAGGATGCGGAGCTGGGCACGGCAGGAGCGGCTGGAACGGGAGCGCGACCCCCGCGCTGCGCACAGACCCTCCCACGGCCGCTCTTCTCTTGTATTTTAATTCAAGGGAGGCTAACCAGCAGAGCTTCGCCGCGGGAGAGGCGGGCAGGGCTCTGGGGTGGGTGCTGTGCTGGTGTTAAACAGGTGGCTCGGGTTTGGAGGTAGCCCTGGGGACACTGGTGGCACTGCTCCACCACGACAGCCACGAGCGCAGACGGAGCCCCAGCAGCCGTAATTGCTTAAGGAGATAAAAATCCTCAGCGTGGGGAGGGGTGGTGGGCATGGAGGCAGGGATGGAGCACGGCAAGGACACACCGACAGCTCCCGGAGCGCGGGGACACGGACACGGCACCGGGAAAAACGCGGAGCGCAGGGGGCTGCCCGCCGAGAGCGGGGACAACGGCGAGGAGCGATGGCACAGCCAGCCCGGGATGCTCCTCAGGGACGGGGAACGAGGGCTGAGGAGACACGACAGGACGGGACAGGCAGCAAACACCGGCGGAGCCCAGCGCGGCTCGGGAGCGCTCCCCGGGGAGGAGGGACAGACGGACGGACGGACGGACGGATGGAGAGCACAGGGATGGAGAGCACAGGGATGGAGAGCACAGGGATGGATAACACAGGGATGGAGAGCACAGGGATGGAGAGCACAGGGATGGAGAGCACAGGGATGGAGAGCACAGGGATGGATAACACAGGGATGGAGAGCACAGGGATGGATAACACAGGGATGGAGAGCACAGGGATGGAGAGCACAGGGATGGATGCAGCTCGGAGCAGGGATGGATAACACAGGGATGGATAGCACAGGGATGGAGAGCACAGGGATGGATAACACAGGGATGGAGAGCACAGGGATGGAGAGCACAGGGATGGAGATCACAGGGGGGATGGAGAGCACAGGGATGGATAACACAGGGATGGAGAGCACAGGGATGGAGAGCACAGGGATGGATAACACAGGGATGGATAGCACAGGGAGCAGGGATGGATAACACAGGGATGGATAGCACAGGGATGGAGAGCACAGGGATGGATAACACAGGGATGGATAACACAGGGATGGAGAGCACAGGGATGCAGCTCGGAGCAGGGATGCTGGCAGGGGCGGGGCCGGCGCAGGTGTGGCCGCTCCATCCTGCCGCTCGCAGCCCACCTGCCGCTCCCGGACCCGGGGGTGGCGACCCGGGCGGTCACCGGCGGCTACCGAGCGGCCACGGCGGGGCCACCGCACCACCGCTCGCGCCGGGGGCCGCTCCACAACGGCAGCGCCCCGCGCCCCTCCTTTTTCTTTCTTTTTTTTTTTTATTTTTTTCCCCCCCTCTCCCTCTCCTCTTCCTCCTTTCATTATCCCAGCCGCCCCACGGCATCCCTCGCTCCCTCCCCGGCCGCGTCCGTGCCCCGCGGGCGGAGGGCGGCGGCCGCGGGAGCATCCTCGCGGTGCGCACCGAGCCCGCCGCGACCCCGCACGCAGCATCCCCTCCTCGCCCATTGTCTGCGCCCCCCGCGCACCGACCCACGGCCCCGGGGGAGCCCAGCCCGGCCCAACCCAGCCGCCACCACCTCCTCCTCCTCCTCCCGCTGCGGGCAGCTCGGGGTCCGCCCGACCCCATTGTTCGCGGCGCGCCCCCGCCCCGCCGTACCTGCGGCTCGCAGCAGGACGAAGGCGCAGGGCAGCACGGCGAGCGGCAGCAGCATCGCACCGGCGGAACGGCGAGCCGCTCGCCGGGGCTGCGGGCGCGGGGAGGGCGCGGGGAGCCGAGCCCGGGCTTGGCCGCTCCGCTGCGCTCGCTGCGTGGGGGTGAACGAGGGAAGGGGTGAGGGAATGGTTGGTCGTGGTTATTGATTGGTTTTTGTTAGCGTGGCGGCGTTGTTGGTTGTTATTGTGTGTTTATTGCATATTGTTGCTTATTGTTGCATATTAATAATAGAATGTCATAGAATATAATACTATATAATATACTATACTACACTACACTATAATATAATATAATATAATATAACATTAATATAATATAATATATCATTAATATAATATAATTAATATAATGTCATATGTCATATAATATAATATCATATAACATAATATAATATAATATCATATAACATAACATAATATAATATAATTAATATCATATCATATCATATAATTTCATATCATATAACACAATACCCTATAATATACTACAATATACTATACTATAAGTTATATTATAATACTCTATATGGTATATTATATAGTATTGATATTATTTTTATCACACTACCGTTAATTATCATAGCATCATTATTCATTATTATCATATCATGCTATAAGATTAGAATAGAAATTATTCTAACGTGTATATAATGCGTGTTTAATAAGTTTGGAAATATGTGCATATGATATGTATTATGTGCTATAGAAAATAGCTAGTTAATATTTATGCAAATAAATATTATATTATTATATATTGCAATATGCAGCACACTACTCCTATTCTATTCTATTCTATTCCACTCCATTCCATTCCATTCCTTATTATCATAGTATATTATAGTATTAGAATATAAATTCTTCTGATGTGTACATAATATGTATTTAATACGTATGTAAATATGTGTATATTATAAGTATTAGGTGCTATAGAAAATAGGCATTAATATTTATGCAAAAATGTGTACATACTATGTATTATATACTATGGAAAAATGTATATATTATGTGTTATATGCCATATAAAAAGACAATGATGTGTGTAGCTTGTATCAATTACAGCATATTATTGATAATGCAACAGCAATTATGCTAATGTTAACAGCAACCCCAGAGGAGAACAAAGCAGGGTTTCACACCTTTGTTTTTGTTTGCATGGGCAGATGGTGACAGGACAAGGGCGATGGTTTCAGGCCTGGAGAGGGGATGTGTAAATGGAATTTTGGGGAGGAATTCCCTGGGAGTGTCCAAGGCCAGGGCCAGTGTCCCTGTCCCCTTGTGGAAATGACCTTTAGAGCATCCAGAAAATGAAAATATGACAGTGCACAGGCTGCTATTGACACAATTTCATAAACTGAGGGGTTTCCATGAAATCCCAGCCGTCTTCTCCACAAAAATCAACACATCCTTGCAAAGCAGGAGCATTCCTCAGTGGTAAACAACAGTCTTGGAGAGAACATTCCATCAATTAAGGCAGCCCTCCTTCCCTGCAAGCTGACATCCCCAAAAACTGGAACAGAAGGATCTGTGAAGAGAGAATATTGCAGACAACAAACACCATGAATTATTGTGTACTGTGGGGGAGCAGTTGTTTGTGTTGGAGATATCAGCAGATCTTTATTGCTATTTAACAATATTTTAGGCCGTGATGTGGGAGTTTCAACTCCCAGGGTGGATAAGGGGAAGAACTCACATGGAAATCAGCAGAGGAAAAATCACCCAAACCCCCTCCAGCTCAGGGATGAGGCAGAAAAAAGGAGAATCTGGAGAAATCAGAATTCCAGAAATATGAGCTTTTCTCTTCAAAAGACTTGACAGAGCAAAGACACCAAGTGCTAACCTGAATTTAAGCCTCCAAGTAATTTAAAAACAAAATCATGGGTTTTATGATGAAAATCCGATGGAGACGAGTCCCAGGCATATCCAAATGGAATGAGGTGCTCCAAGTACATTACCTGACACATTTCCCTTTTTTTTTGGCCATTAACAGAGGTTTATGGGCCATGCCTGTGCATTTCTTTTTGTTAATATATAAAATGAAAAGGGGAAAAAAATCCCATCAATCAATAACTGAAGTGCAAGTCTCAGTTCCTGGCTTCACTGGGTACTTGGCATAAAAGTGAGCAGGAAATTTGAAGTTTTCTGCCACATTTAAAAGCAGCAGCAGTGGAATCTGTCAAATTAATTCCACTTCTGCTATGCAAATATAATAAAAGTGAATTTTAACTATACAGGCATTTCACAAATATTAGACCCAGATTTTTAAACCACAAAGCAGAGTTCTCCCTTCTTTGTAGGCTCTGCAAAAGGGGAATAATTAGGGAATGCACCTCAGAATTCCTCCTGGCCAGAGGGGAATTATTCTGTGCTCTGCAGATGTTTATGGTGATGGATAACAACACCATGCAAAGTGACCTCAAATCAATATTCTTCACAGCCAGGCAATAAAAGCAGAGATAGTCCCTTGAAACATCCCTCTCTTTGCCACGGATTATTTTTAAAAGTCTTAATATAGAAGAAAAGTAAGAGTGTGTCCCTTTCCTTGTTTAGACAACGTGCCTCACGAAGATATTCCTGTGCTCCGCTGATGTCACCAACCATAGGAATGAGGGTGAAGTCATCAGAAATGGAGAGGTAAAATTACAGGCCAGAAAGTCAGGATGTGAGCACTCAAAACCTCTGCTCTATGTCCATACCTGGAGCCAAGCCCTGGATTTCTCCTGGAGTTCTGCTTCCCACATCCAGGGGATGGTTCCTGCCCAGAGATGGGAGGAAATGGGTAACAGTGGAGCTGTTAGTCATGGATACATCCAGGGAAAGGATATTCCACTTGGTGGCCATGCTCTGTCACCCTGACTCACAGCTCACATGTCACCCAGCTGATGGCATTCCTGGAAGTCACCTGGCACTTGTGGGAATACAGGAAATCTTCCATCTCTGAAGATCAAATGTTACATTGAACCTGCATGCTTCCATCTGTGAAACAATTACACACTGGCAGTGTGCACTAAATGTCTCATTTTAATATTTTTAACCTACCCAGTCAACTCTGGTGCTTCAGTTCAAAGGAGAAAAGGATTCTCAGCTGAGCAAAATCACAGAAATTAAAAGGGGTGTAAAGAGTACATGAGGATTAATTGACTGTTCTCTTCTACTCTCCCCATGGTGTCACTAGTTCCTGTTTTAATTTAAAATATTAAAGGTATTTAAAGCACCTCCATCACCCAGTGCCTCTAAATAACAGACATCAGCATCACTAATACCTGTCTATTTTAAAAGAACAGCTGTTCTAGTTGCTGCTTTTATTTACAATAATATTTATTCCAAGCCTCACCATCACATCACGTGCATTGATGCAAGTGTAAAACCAGTGTGTGCAAAATTAGCATAGAAGAGACTAAAACAAGAGGGTGTCTCATGGTAGCAAGCAATAAAGGATTGTTTTAATTGAAAAAATCCATCCCTCGGTCTGCTTTGATTTAAAAAAAGCATAAATATGCCTGGCAGGAATGCTGAAGCACATGTGGAAGCTCTGAGGAGCCACATTCCCAGCACGTGGAGTGCACTGCCAGACCCACACTCAGCAGATTTATCCCCCAGAGCTGCCTCTAAAGCATCGATGACCAGTGGGCTCACTTTGAAACTCAACGAAGGCTCCCCCATCCCCCAAAAGTAAAGGGCTGTCCAAAACACGACCAAAAAAAAAAAGAGTAATTTACAACTTTTTGCTCCTCTCTTTCCTTACCACAGGGAGCTCCTTGCCAGTCAGAGCTGCAGAAGATGAATCCACTGGAGCAGAACTGTGCTTTAATTTTTCCTCTTGCTGAGAGGCAACCAAACAGGATTATGCTGATTGCCCACAAGGCAGGCAGGTAGGCAGTCATTCCAAGAGAAGAAGGAATAATTCCATTTTTAAATCAGCCCAGAGCAGAGCTGAATGTTTCCCCAACATTCTTTGGTTGTGACTGGGTTTCAGGCACAGAAGAATAAAACTTGTAACAGAATCTCACTCTCTGACTCTGTGTTATGTCAGCCTCACATTTCTCCAAAAATATTGTGGAGAGGATAAAAATATGAGTAAAGGAGTGTTTCTATTTTTACATAATGGTCTTAAGATGGTGCTGAAATGCAATGAGAAAGAAAAAGATCCTGGAAAATTCTTGCTGTTGAGGCAAAAATCATTTTTTTCTGGAACTGAATACATCCTTTGCTTTGTTACCAAAGCCTGGATGGAGGCTCTGGGATTTACAGCATCCAGGTTGTTTTGAGGCAGCTTCCCAGGCACATGAGAATGCTAAAATTCAGCCATGAAACCTTTGGGCACCACTTTTGGAATTTCATCTTTGCCATCACCGGTCTGAGGGCCCGAATTCACTCGTGAGCATCACCCCCAGACCCCAGGGCAGCTGCTGCCCCTCCAGTCCTGGCCATGATTTTCAGAGCTCATGGATTGGTTTTTAGTCAGTTTTTATTGCTGCTGCTCTTGTGCTCATCTGAATTAAAGTGATATTCAGGGATTTCCTAAACACAAGATGCTTCTCCACAGGCAGGTTCTTCATACAAAGCACTCACCAATAACAGATGTGGTGGCTTTCATCTTCACATCAGGGTTAGGAGGTCCTAGGTTGGCAGGAATGCCACTGAAGCCACCCAGACGGGATGAGGAGAGCACCTTTAGTGTGGATCCAGCTCTCCTCACCCAAATTTCGTCTCTGATGAGGAATTGTTGGGCGACAAATCAGCGGCTCTGAGCTGGCAGGAGCGGTGCCAGATGATGTAAGATGATGCATTTCTCTGGCAGATGTCTGCCATCTGCACAGCTGCTCCGGCCTCTCCTGGAGAAGGGCTGTGCTGGAAGGGGAAAAAAACCAGCACAAAAAGCTTTGCCGTGGCTCAGGTTCCTCTCTGGAGCCATTTGGATCCCAGTCAGGTAGGACAACCAGGGACAGACACTGCCTTTGGCAGTCAGGGGGGTCCCTTGGGACTGTAAGTTGTCTTGATAAATCTGGAGGCAAACACATCGTCACCCCTAAACACAGCCCAGCTCGTGCAGCCTTCCCTGCCCTCCAGCAG